CGCAGGGTCCGTGGACGGCTTGACGACAGGCATTCTGCGTACACACAAGACAGTGACAGTGAGGCGGCGAGTTTACGAGAATTCGAAGAACTTGAAAAGAGATGCGAGTTGATGGAGCAATCCTGCAGGGCAGAGCGCCAGAGCGCGGAAAAGCCGGTGGTTCGAGTTCGGAGAGTAAGAGCAGCCAGCAGACTGAGGAGTCCGAGCGTTTCCAGTTCAAACAAGGCTAAGGAGGAAAGTGCTACGCCGTCGCAAGACAGTGAGTTCTGGATAGACTGTCAGGCGGAGAATCTGAAGGTCTTTAACAACCCAAAGGATCGGCGCATAGTGTCGATCGCGCGTGCCAGCGGATGCCAATTAAAGCTGACAGAGACAAGACGCAAGAATGCTCTGGGCCAATGGCAACAGCTGGTCATAATTCAGCCCACAACCGAGACTGGCATTCAAAAGTGTATCAACCTATTGGATGAAAAATTTCCCGAATTTCAAAGCGGCTTTAAGCCCAGGTACAGTAAGTAGCGATACTCGCTGGTACTGACCCAATGCTGCATAGTATCTACTAATAGCTTATTAGTAGTCTGGACATGATCGAAATCGATTTTTGTTGTGAGTGTTGCGGAATAGGAATATGAGGAGGAGATGAGAATGTTCACCGGAACGAGTTTTATCTTCGCTGACGTTTCGGAGAGCTGGGCCAATTAATGAAGCCACACATTCAAGGCGCTGATCGATAGTCGTAGCATACGCTTTGAGAGCCAGCCCAGCTTTCCGAAACGTCAGCTAAAACAAAAAGCCGTTCAGGTGACCATTATCATGTTTACAAGCAACAGAGATGCCCTCGTGAGTAAAATAGGACCTATTTTTCACGAAAAAAAATGCGAAGCCTTGCGTTCCAGGTGTAAAGCAGAAGGCTGGTTGAGCACCGGGCCAATTTGTAATGAAAAACTCCTGCACAACATTTGAAAGTTCAGAACAGTAGACAAACTGCTCCGATGCCCGACCAGGCTTCTCCTGGTAGCACAGGCACTAGCTAAAAGCAAGTGAAGATGGCAGAATTTATTTGTACAGATAAATTTTGGGGGAGCTTGTCAACTGCTTCCTCTCTTTGCATGAATAAGATAACTAACATAGTCCGCAGTGGTCAATCAGCGCCCATGTTAGACAGTTATTGATTTTTTTACATATTCAAACTTTAATTGTTATGCACAACTTTCATTTCCCCTGCAAATGTTTGGCCTGATGACGAGTTGCTGAAAACATATGTTTGCCATAAACTGACTTTTAAAAATAACCTAACAATTGGAGAACACAGCATTTTGACTTTTCACAAATAATAGCAGGGGCATTTTAACTCGGCGAATAGTGTGTTCTCCAATTGTTACGCTATTTATGCAGAGAGAGGTAGCAGTTGACGAGTTCTCCCAAAATTAATTTGTACAAATAAATTCTTCCGTTTTCACTTGCTTAAAATTTTTACCTGGGAAAAAAATGTTTTAAATTAGTCAGACAGTTGACAATTGTTTTCGGTCATTCATATTCAGGCAGATACACCCGAGGATCATATTAACACTGCACATTACTGATAATTTTATTTTCCATGTTATTCTATCAGCCTGAAGTTGGATGACCGAAACAGTGGTTTGTGAATACGGATTTTCTGTCTTAGTAGTAGTTTGTACTGAGGCAAATGTTCGCATTCCAGGAACGGTTCTATGTACCGCGTAGTTGGACGACAAGAGCATGGGTGAGAGTCGGAGCACGACGACGGAGCAGCAAGACCGTAGCCAATCCGAACGAGATTCCAAACAACACAGGCAGCTACTGACCAGAATGACCGATTGTTATCGATTTTTTTTCAGGGGGTTTAAAATCCTAACTGTTCTCAAATTTGCAAAAGTGAGTGTTCCTGGACGTGTTTAGCCGGTATTCTGCCATTTTTTGACACAGCTGCGAGGGGTTACTTGGCATCTAGTAGATATTCCAGTTTTTAAAGTTCAGATTTTTAATTTCCTCAGAAATAAGTTCCTAATTTGGGATTAGCTCTGTACGTTCAAGGTCTATAGGCACAGACCTAAATTTGATGTTAACATTTTTTACAATGTCTAGCAACCACTGTGAAATAACAGCTTAATATTCAGAAGTTGCCAACAGGCCTTGAATATACTGATCTCCCCAAATTCAAAAATTAATTACTAAGGCAGGAAAAAAGGTGAAACGCCTAATTTTAGTCAACATGACTCCTTCATGCGGCTCTGCTTTTGTTTGTATTAGCGGTCTCTGCCAAAGGACGTAAACAAGGACCATTTACGCTGTGCACTCAGATTTAACTTTGCAAGGGCAAGCACTCAATTACACTTTTTTAAAGTCAGTTCAATAAAATTCCAAGGACTAGAGGCAGTTGCAATTAGGTTTATTTCCCGGTACGATAACCTGCCTAGAATGCGTTCACTCATTGTGCTTGAATCCGGAGCCGAATGAGAAACGAGGCAATTTTTCATCCAATGAATGCCTGCACATGACTGCGATGCAGGCTCGCCGACTGGATGTTGCCGTCTGTTCAGAGTCTTCTGGTCGCCTGTCTTCTGAAAAGATTTACCGCGGTAACGCTTCGTCGGCGCTATGATTTGAGCCTGTGGAATGTTGAGACACGAAGAAGATCCGTTTGACAAACGAGTCCACGCTTATTGGCTGCCGGTGAAGCACTCTTCTTTGCCTTGTTTGCAACGGTCGTCCTTCTGTCTAGGCGCTGTTACTCCCGGGTGAGCCAATGGCTCCTCCACTGGCCGACGCCCACAGGAACTTTCCCTCCTCGTGGCTCTTCTCCAAGTTCTCCAGTTCTCTCCAACTGGTCACCCACGGTCACTGCCTTTTGCGAACTCAGAATCCTTGGCAAGCATTTCACGGAGGCTGGTCTGTGCAAATGTGCGCATTCATCGAATGCAGCTGCGTTTGACAATTAGCGGATGTGAGGTAGACAGTGAAAATTCAG